ACACACACACACACACACACACACACACACACACACACACACACACACACAGCCATCGGCACACGTAAGAGTGGCAGCATTTCACCGCATACAGAAATGTCAGACTCTCAGGGAGCCCTGGAATTTATTTTGTCACATCGGAGAGACGTTGACTGCATTCGTGTGCAAGTGTAACCCGCAGTTGGAAATGAGATGCAGATACTAGATACTAGATACTAGATAGCGGATATCAATCAAAGGTTTTAGATTACCCTGGGCGTGGAAGATACATGTAAGTGGGGAGTTGACTTGTCACTCATCGTCATGGCACTCATCGTCATGGCACTCATCGTCATGGGTTAGTAGCTTACCAGTCGAAGAAGTGATGATAGTGAACTAGCTATAGCATCAGCAGTTGGCGGTTGCATTGCCTTCGCCAGGAACTCTTCTGCTTTGCCGAGATTGAGCAACTGGACAAACACGGACATGCATTGAATACATTGACACACATACTAAAATAAAAAGAAAGGTGTTCGCTCCCCGCACCGGAGCTCGCCGAAGTCACTATCACTACCTCGTAAATGTCAAAAAGACTGGAGCACAGACCAGAGAAACCTCGACGTTCATCTATTGTCATTTGATCATCGGTCTATAAAGACGAGGGTCGGCTTGCAAAATCAAACAACTACTACTGTTCACTAGTTTGAGGGAAAGACACAAACGGGAACTACTGTAAAAGCCATTATTCTAACGAGGCGCATATATAACGATTTCCCAAAATCGACTGGTTTACGTGTACCAAAGGTAACGATTCTCACTTATTCTCAACGCTCAATAGGACAGTATATGTATCGATTTCTGTATAACGATTAATCCTTTTTTAACGACAGATTTCTCCTCGTTAACTCGTTAGAGTTAGCACTTCGTTATATATACCGTAATGTCGCGTGCATAAGCCGGATTTGTGCATAAGCCTGTCTCGTGTAGAAGCATGAAATCTGCAACAGCTTTTCGCGTACAAGCCTGTCGCATGCATAAGCCGGGCCAGTACACGAGACGCGCCACGTGTCGCGTGCGTAAGCCGGGCTACTACGCAAGACTGGTGAGCGCGCCTTTTACATGTTCATGTTTGCATGGTACCGTACACTTGCACACGCGGAAAACGTGGGAAGATGCGGAAATCAACACCAGCTGCGCTCGACGGCCATGCAGCACTCTTCAAGCTTCAAACTTACCTTTCCCATGGCATTTTCCGTCTTGTCCCTTGGCAAGTTGCTTGTTTGAAGTTGTTTCGGCGCTCCTCGAACTTTTCACTTGTGTTTGTTGCAGTCTACCCGTAGATAGAACTCATCTCAACCAAGTCTGCTTGTCGAAATGCCGAAAACAAAAGGACTTCGGAAAAAATACTCAGCGACATTCAAGCTGGCGGTAGTGAAAGCTGCAAAATCGACTTCTGTCACTGCTGCTTCTAGAAAGCACAGCATCGACGAGAGTATGGTGCGGCGATGGAAACGGCAAGAAAACCAGCTTCTTGTGGCGGAGAGGTCCAAAACCAGCCGTGGTGAGCAGCGATCCCGGACATCTGGTGGGAAGCGGAGCCAGTTCACGGATTTGGAAGCTAATTTGTTCGAGTGGCTTGTTGGGGAACGTCAGCAGAGACGACGAGTGAGCAGGAAGTCTGTCCGTGCAAAGGCTAAACAGCTCCATGCCGAGATGGGAAACGCCGAGGAGTTCAACGCCAGTGCTGGTTGGTGTGCCAACTTCTTTATGCGTTTTCGTCTGACGATGAGAATGAAGACCCATCAAAGCCAACGATCTCCGGAAGACTTGATTCCCAAACTGACGGATTTTCTGATGTATCTGAGGAAGTATTTCGCGGAACATCCGACCATGACGAAGGCCAACATCTTCGCTATGGATGAAACTGCTGTGTGGTTCGATTCCACCAGCAGTCGGACAGTGGAAGTGGTAGGAGCACAATCTGTTCCATTGGCATCAACAGGCCACGACAAGGCCAATGTAACCGTTGCTCTGTGTGCTTCAGCTGACGGGAAGAAGCTCCTACCCTACATCATCTTCAAGGGAAAGGGCAAGACGGCCGAGGACAAGGAGCTGAAAGCCAGACGCGACATTGTCGTGAGTTACTCCGACAATGGGTGGTTCAACTCTGACTTGACGACGGACTGGCTCAAGAAGGTGATGGGTACCTTTGCGTTTGGGAAGAGGCTCCTCATATGGGACTCTTACCGCTGCCATGTGTGTGATGCTGTGAAGGCCACCCGCCGCGAGCAGAACATCGACTGTGCCGTTATTCCAGGAGGGTGCACTGGCCTCATCCAAGCACCGGATGTCAGCTGGAATAAGCCATTCAAGACTTCTATCCGGGAGCAGTATGACAAGTGGATGGCAACCGGAGAGAAGTCATACACTGCTGCTGGTAACATGCGTGCCATGTCAAAGTCGAAGCTGTGTGACGTTGTGGTGAAGGCTTGGCAAGGCCTTTCCCCTGACCTTATCTCCA